GAGAGGCACACACCCTCCTTCAGGTCCGTCATCCACTGTTTCCATATTTCAGGCTGTAACAGCAGATGGCATTTGGCGTGCTCTTACCCGCTCCTGGTGACCAGACACTGGCGCAGACCAAGCTTGCGGAAGATGTCCACCACGGTCTCCATGGGTGTGTGGTCGGTGACGGTGAATGGGCTGAGGTTGAGGATGCGTCGCAGCTTAAGCGGCTGTGGGTTGCTCGCCGGCAGCTGCGGTGCGTCCTCGGTGAAGTAGACCACTGAGCTGCTCACCACGCCGTCCTGCTTCTGACGGGCGTTCTCTGTGGATGGATCGAGGGGAGGAGTCAGTGGAAACATTTCGATCGGATTCACTAAAGACTAACGTGCATTTGCGGTTGACTTACTGATGGCGAGCGTGAGGTCTCTGCGCTGGACGAAGCCGATGAGCCTCTCTGACTCTCTGGACACGACCACGGGGAAACCGTTGTAGTCCGTGTCTTTGATCAGCGTCTCCACATCCTCTACTGTCGTGGAGTCCTGCGTGAGGACAGCCAGCGGCGGGTCATTCCTGCGGGGACGCATCACGTCGGTGGCGAGCGTGCGGTGGGTGAACTCGTCCCGCACGTCCAGGTACGGGTAGCCGTTTAGCAGGATGTGTGACTCGTAGATGCCCTCCTTACCGAATGCATCTGCCACCCACTTGCTGGTGACGGCGGCGGCCATCAGGGGGACGATGTACTCCAAGCCGCCGGTGAGCTCAAACATGATGACCACCAGCGAGACGGTCATTCTCGTCACACCGCCTGAAGCAACACAAACACAGCTGCTTCATCACAGGAGGAGACTTAATTCAACCATTCACAGTGTGAGAAGTTTCTGCTGTTTACCAGGGGCAGCCAATCAGAACAAAGCTTGAGTTAAAAGGGGAGGAGCTAAACCAGCTTGTTTCAGGCAGGCCTGACACAAGGCCTCATCATGTCTACATCTTAAAGCTTCTAATGGGTGAACGGTGCACT